TATCTTCTTCTTGTTGCTCCACTGGTACAAGTTGAAGAAGGGTGTATTGAGTAATATAGTAGAAGATCTGTAGGTAAAACGAGACGAAATATATTTTGACCTACAGAACTAACCGGAAGTCCGATTGAGACGTACAGTATACCCAGACGACCGTCTCGACGAGAGCTTTCCATCTCCGCAGACGTCGCCGGAATCCGATGCCGCACGCGCCCCCACGCGCCGCCGGAAGGTGCCAGGCAGCAAAATTTCGTTTTGATCTGTTTGCATACGTTTGATCTAGTTTTGATCTGATCTTGTTCTCGCAACCTAAGACGTGATTTGCGGTCAATCAATTGCGGTCAACCGTTCGTGGTCAACCAGATCTACATAAATTTTAAGCCGTATGTTCTCTACGTCAAACCTTTAGATCCGCTGCGCATAGGTTTACGTTTGCTATTGAATTCGTGATTTGTACATAACGAGATCCTCACATATCCCAACAGCCCCAGCTGCAGATTGAGGGCCCGACTGTGAGTGGGAGTCGGGGACGATGGGATGACGAGGTCACCTCGGTTACTGTGACGTCGGCTGTTGGCTATGTGTTGGTTGGCGTTGACTGTGAGGCTAGCGTTTGCTACTCGACTCTTTTCTTTTTATTTTATTATTATTTTTTATATATATTACTGTTACTAGATCTGGATGTGACATGACCAGTACTATACTGACAGGAATAGTGCTAGTAACGTGGTTGTATAATGTCCAAGTGGTATTATATGCTTGTTTTTTAATTCAACAGAAAACGAAAAATGAAAAAAGAAAAAATAGCAGCAGGAGAAATCAATCTCCATTCTTCCAATCAAAACTAAACCAAAGAGAAAATATGAGATTGAAAATCTTAGTAGGACTTTGTTCTCCTCGCAATAAGCTTCAGACCCCCAAATGCGAAAATAGACTTCAATCCCATATATTGGAGGTTTGTGACAACAGAGAGGAAAATGGTTGGATTTTGAGGCGATTCTTTTATTTTATGGGATGAACACAGGTACATAATGAAGTGATATATATTCAAGGAAAATGGGAGAAATAAATGTAGAGAAAGTTGAGACTGAGATCCTGAAATACAAACTTGGTGGAAAACGTGTTTTCCGGTTGAGATGTGGCCGTTTTTCGGTGAAAATTGACTCTGAACAAATTACGGAGCCCTCCTTCTAGCGCCAAACTGTTGATGTCGAAAATTGGACGATCAACTGTTAAATATAAATCAAATTGTTGTATGAAAATCAAGACAAAAATAGATGAGAATGGGATGTTTTATTTCTTTTTAGAGAGAAAATTTTTCTCTCTTTGTTGTTGAGGAGAGGATGAATGGAGAGGGCTTTCTCTCTCTTCCTTTCTACCTATTTATACATGGCTCTTTTTTCTTACAAGTAGGTAATTACCAATAGATAAATGAAAGGTAGTACATTATTATTTAATGGGAGATAGTCATCGTGGGATCCGCTTGTGACCCTTGACGGTTTCGAATGGCGTCCATCTCCTCAGCAATTATGACATCTACCGGAGGGGGCTTCGAATCCTATTCGACTCGGTAGCGGGTGAACTCGACATTTGGGAATCCGATTGACTTTTAGGCGATTAGTCTTGAGAACCTGTTTGTACATCTATTTATTACGTATTTTCGGCCCCTTGGTTATTGGGCCGTTATTTATTATTTTATTTATCATTTAATTAATCGGAGCCAAATTGGGTATCAACAAGTCTTACCCTACCAAAATGAAGCAAAGGAGGTAGACCAATTCCTGCACACAGAAGTTGATATTTTGAAAAATGACAATATATGTATAAATATAAATATATATATATATATATATATATATAGGGATTGGTTCCAATGCATCTACTTATTTAAAGTGAGGACGTGAGACTCATTTTTAGCCACAAGATTTGGTACATCATGTGTGGCCAAGATTTAATCTTTTCTTTTTATTGTTTTAATTATTTAAATATTATTTTGACCCGTTGACTCCGGCGTTGACCGTTGACTTCCGATGTTGACTTCCGGCGAAATCCGTTGACTTCCGACGTTGACCGTTGACTTCCGACATTGACTCCGGCGTTGACCGTTGACAACTAACCTTCCAACTAGGTTAGTTCTCTGTAATTGGTAGGTTAATTCTATGTAGTTGTTAGGCTAGTTCTCTATAGTTGCTAGGTTAGTTGTCTGTAGTTGCTAGGTTAGTAGCTGCTAGGTTAGTTCTCTGTAGTTGCTAGGTTAGTTGTTGCTAGGTTAGTTCTATGTAGTTGTTAGGTTAGTTCTCTATAGTTGCTAGGTTACTAGTTGCTAGGTTAGTTCTCTGTAATTGCTAAGTTAGTAGTTGCTAGGTTAGTTCTCTGTAGTTGTTAGGTTAGTTGTCTGTAATTGCTAAGAGTTGTCTGCATTTTAAGAGCTGAGCGTGTTTTAAGAGCTGATCACATTTGATACACCCCTATATATATAAAGTAATGTCACTAGTACATGTGAAATGGTGATATGATGAGAATAGGGAAAACTAATACTACGCTAAGGTGTGTGTGGATTGTGGAGAGATATTTTCAAATAAAAAAGAAAAAACAAGACTGAATAACTCTATTTATATGTAGGTCAAAAATAGGTCATGGAAGATTCGTGTTTAAAACGTCGCATTAATGGTGCGGATTAAAGAAGTGAAGTAGACCAATTATATAATGACATTTTTAATATAAATAAGATGCCCAATAGTAAGATAAGAGGCTCAAGTGGCTTTAACCTACCTAAGTGGACTAAAAAAATGTGTCAGATTTAGGATAAAAAAAAATGTGCCCACTAAACAATAGGGTAATTGGTTCTATAGAAAATGAAAGAAAATGAACAAGAAATAATAAATTTAGTTAGTTGAAGTAATGAACAAGTAAAATAAAAAGCCAAGTCCAATGACGATATTATCTTAGGTTGTATTGCTATTAGTAGTAGGGTGTTGGACTCAATCAGGCAAATGCAAAATCAAAGTAAATGCTTCGGCTCATAATATGATGTGGACTGACAAAGAAAAGAAAGAAATAATAACAATAATAATAATAATAATAATAATAATAATAATAATAATAATAATAATAATAATAATAATAAGCATTCATTTTCCATATAAAATAGGGGATATTACATATTCTTAGGATCATGCTTAGGGTTTCATCAAAGTCATGTATGTATGTGTTTGGTATCAGATAACAATCAGGTGTATAAAACGCCTATCGACGCGTTTCAGTAATTGGAATCAAATGTTTATTGAATAGGGCCACAAAGAAAAGTTTGATTTATACCGACTTGATAAAAGAATTAGACCTCAATTATTATATATGTTCGTCCTCTTAATCTTTATAGATTGTCGTCCTCTTAATACAGATATAATAACGTGCATTCATATTTAATATATATTTCTTTAGTTCATCAGTGAGTGAGATTTATTTTATTAAGTCAACAAACACGGTAGATTGGAAAGTAGTATTGCTTATATGATGTGTTGTTGCTTATAAAAGGATTTCGTGTATTGATGCGTTCGGTTGATAATGTGTTCGAAATGAATTCATAAGGATCATTATGTAAAATCCTCCACGTGAATTTATTTGACATAATAATAAAATTGAGTGGTACTAGTTTCAAAATAAAATAAGTTAATTAATTAAATTTTCAGTAATTAATTAATTAACAGATATTTTATATCGTCATCATTGGGAGATAACGAGCATATAATAAATAGAGTCGATATGTAATATGGATATAGGGAAGATAGTGCAATATTAACTCTTCAGTGGATTGAGTTATTATTGATGGTCCCTATTATAGTCTATATATACTAGATGTACGTTAAAATAAGCTCTCGACTTGAAAATTGTGTGCAACTCGTGAGGGGGGAGATAGAGAATCGTGATACTTCTTGAAAATGATAAAGATTGTGTTGCCTTGTTGCCTAGTTCTAAAATGATTGATACACAGAAAGTCTTTTTTTTTTATTTTATTTTTTATTTTTTTTATCTATCTTGAAGATGATTCATCGATGGATGGCTAAGGAGGCGAGTCCAAGCTTGGTGAATAATATAACAAAAGATCTTGAGGTAAACAAGGCTTCTGGTTTTTTACCTTGTTAGCCTGTATCGTCTAAGAGTTGATAAATTTTTAGCGGTACGACTTCGATAAACTCTATATATTCAGTTGCGCATAGAATTTAAGTTGTACACAAAACGAATTCACAATTTTTGATGATCGTCATTGATCCAACAACCACTTCTACTAAAGAGGAAAACAAGAGTCATCAGAAACGGGCATAAAGCAAATGAAATACATTCTGTAGTCATCTGGTCATTACATGATATGGTGTCCATGAGGATAATGCTATTATGAAATAATTGTTTACACGATGATGTGTAAATATTATGAGTTGTTGATTTTAAAGGTGATGTGAGCGTTTATATTCATAAGATCGGTATACGTTATGTCAAAGTTATGTCAGTCATTATAATCATTATGTTTATGTAGCGTATCATAATTCTATGATATCTACGAATGCATCACCTATGTATGGTGGATATGTGATTGTGAAATTGTTGTGTATATGGTGAATATGTGAATGAAAGACACATTGTTGTCGGGATATCTAAATTTTAAAATACGCATATTCAAATATTTTGTATATTAACATAGGCATATTTAAATATGACAGTAGCTGAACAATTTACAGATTTTTAAAAGTGAAAAGATTTCATATTCAGACCACCAAACTACTCAATTCTCATCATGATGAACTTATTGCCCATTAACAAATCTCCCTACCAACTTAAAAAGTAACAACCAGGTTAGCCACCACAAGCACCAGACAATTCTAACACACAACAAAAGGTCCATATTTCAACAGTCAAATAAATACAATAACACATTCTGAAAACTTATACAGAATCCGACATCCAACAAAAAAACACCACTAAACGAAAATCTTGCAAAACACCTTACCTTAATACATCCTACCAGTACACTGTGCAGCACCACAGTAACACTTCTTCACCTTAATATTCCCATGCGAGTCCCGAATCTGATCAACACAGTAGTTATAGTGATATGTCAGCTCCTGCAACGGCGGAATATTCTCCATCGCAAACAACATAATGTGCGGCATCTTCATATCATCATGATCGTAAATCACATTCTGCGCATACAGATTCGGCGCGCAGCTATGATTAACAAACCTCCCCACATTCCCAAACCTGCACGCATCTATAGTGTACCCACCATCTTCAACGAGCTCGGCCGACAACGCCTGATCCTCCGCATTAAGACACGAGTCACTCAAATTCTGTCCTATATCAAACAAATACTCGTCACTCCCAATCCTCTTCTCCGCTTCCCTGTCTTCCAGAAGCTCCCCCGCGTACTCGCAGATGAAGCTTCCGGAAGGTATCGACGTCAGCGCCCTCACCCCCCACCCGCGCGTCTCGGTTTTAAAAATCTCGAGCTGGTATTTAATCCCTCGCTGAGTCACCCTGTTGAAGCACGAAGGCGGGCACTTGCAGTGGGGCCCGCACTCGTAAACGAGAAGCTTCGTCTCGACGAGCGCGCCGTTTCGATTGTACGGAATCTGGCCGCCGTTGCGCACCGCGCAGCGGCACTTCCTCGAGTCGGAGCAGCGGCCGGCGCAGTCGCAGCCAGGTGGCGCCGCGGGGACGTGCCACGCGGGATACGTCATTCTCGCGACGTACTCGAACGAAGGCGGCTTCTCGTCGTTTATAATGTTGACGGCCGGAATGCCAAACGCCTCCTTCCCGTTGGATATGTCCTTGACGCAGACGCCGGGACGGAATCTGGCGTTGTTGGATTTTTTCAGCTGTTTCCAGGCGAGTTCGGGCTGGCCGGGATTCCGGCGGAGCTCGAACATGAAGACCTGTTTGCCGTGGGGCCCGGTCTCGGTCCAGTACCTCTCGACCGTGTAAAGACCATCGTAAACGTATGTGGTTACGAGTTTCGGTTTCGGTTCGAGGGGGTCGACTGCTTTGTCGCGCCACCCTCGGACCACGCGGACAGGCGTCTTCGCGTCGATGCTGTTTTTTAAAGCTAAATTGCCGCGCTCAAGCTTTTGGTCCTGCGGCTGTTGCTTTTGCTTCCCGACGACGTTTCCGCCTTGGCCGGAGTATATCAGGACGTCCGCGTTCTCGAGGTCGTCCGAGTAAGCGCCGGACGAGACTATGCTAGTGGCGACTTGTAAACCATTTTCGAGCTTCATGGAGTCTATGCCAGCTTGGTAGAGGCGGTGGATGCCGACGACGGCGAGCTCGACTCGATACTGGAACTCGTCGCCGACGAGAACTCCGGGGACTTGGCCGAGGATTTGTTTCCCGGTGTTGACTTCTTCTCCTTTTTCCTTGATGGCCTTGGCGGCGAAGAGGTCGATTCTTCGGACGTTTTTTACCGGTTTGCCCTCCTCATCTTCGAGGATTGAGTTTGCTTCTTCTTTCTGGAGGAGCTTTCGGCATATGGCGTTGAACAGACGGAGGGTGTTTCGGACTTTGTTACGGGCGTCTCCATGGGCGGCGGAGGTGTTGGGGCCGAAGGGGGGTAGGGTGACCTCTAAATCTTGCTGTTTGCGGGTTTTGGTGGGGAATTTCCGTTTTTGCCCTTCACCGTCTGCAGGGGGCAAGGCTTCTTCGGGACTCACATCGTCTTCGTCATCGTTACTCATACGGACTTTCTTGAGCTTCTTGGAAGGAGGTACTGAGGATTTTGATTTTAGATTCTGGATACTTTTCTTAGCAACGGCCTTTGATTTGTGCCGCAAGGAGAGGCTCGGCTTCTTATTTCGTCTTCCTCCACTCGTTTTCAAGTCATGGTTATTGCTCGGATATGTTTTTTCTTTACTCCACGGACAATTTGGTTTGGCCATCAGACCATATAAACTCTTCCTATTCTCCTCATTCTCTGAGCTAGAAGAACTATGCGAAGGCTCGATATTTTCATCCCGTTTGGCCATCAGAGCATATATAATCTTCCTATTCTCGTCATTCTCTGAGCTAGAAGAAGCACTATGCGAAGGCTCGATATTTTCATCCCGTTTTCCTGGAGAATAAACAACAATTTCCCCAGCACATTCAGCCGAAACAGGGTTAGTGATCTCACGCATGTCTTCATCCCGAGCCCCAGCATCATTCATTTCTGTTTCCTGAATAATGCTTCGCTGTAATGTCCTGTTGTTTTGAAGTCCACTCAGACATTTTTCTTGGGAAGTTGGTGTTATCTGTTTTATTGTCCCATCCTGCGGACAGCTTTTTTCAGTCGGTAAAGAAAAATTTCTCCCGCAGTTAGGAGGAAAGTCACGAACTGCAGACACACTCCTCTTACGGTACTTGTCCTTCCCTCTAACAGAGAAATCCATACCTGATTTCTTAACCAAAGTCAAAATTTCCACTTTGTTTAATTCGTTCAGCGTTGGCTGGCCTGTAGCCTCAGTCTCTTTGTTAGGAGAATCAGTTTTCATGGCGTCCAGTGTATTAGTATTACCTTCATCACGCTTACCGTAAGTGATCAATTTTTCAGTAGAATTCGCAAAACCTTCCTTTTCCTCTATTGTTGTAGTTGTAAGTTTTCCAACAAACATGTCCATTGTTTGAGGCATTTCTACTTCAATAGGATTATTTACTTCATTCGGCAACTGAAATCCGGGTGGCCAAGTCGACAATTTCTCATCGATATTCGCACTTGACGTGATTTTCCCCACCAACTCATCCAACGACTCAATCATATCCACATCCACAAGAACATCAAATGCTTCATGTGATTCACACTCCACCATGTTATTAGAGTTTTTCACACCGCTACTACCTAAGTCACTATATACGTCGGTATCTTTTTTTGCCTCGCAACCAATCTCGAGTTTGGGGATTTCAGCAGTATTAACCTCATTACTCTCTGTTTTGATGGCTTCAGAATTTCTGATAGCCTGAGACCCAATTATTTCAGCCATTTGAGGTCTTCCAATTTGACTGCCTCTAATTTCTTCAGGTTTTATATTTGGCGGAATGGGATTACGTCCACACTGAGGGGGAAAGTCCCGGACTGCGGATACTCTCCTGGGCTTGTATTTGGGTATGGAGCTGTTCTCCAAAGGCCGCTTGTTCGAGACCTCACCCAAACCACCATTTGAAATAGAAACCATTATCTGAAGACTAATTATGGCAATGAGAACTGAGAGTGAATACAAGGAAAAAAAAAAGAAAAAAGAAAAAGAGAAAAAGTAAGTATAATACTATTCATACAACCAATACATGATAACAAAGATCAATCCAACAATGAAAAAAAGTTCACAGGAGACATGTATGTATCCTTATAAATTAACCTGCAGAACATGATAACAACTTTCGAAAACAAAATTAGGGCATTCAATATAAATGAATAATTTACATAAAAAAAAAAATGAGGAGATTAAAACAAATGATCGAGTCAGATNAAAAAAAAAGCCCAAAAATATGGAACAGCCAAATGAAGAAAGGCAAACGAGGCATATGCACATATACCTGATGAAGAGAATTTGTAAATTAATCTCTGCGCAAAAGCGGAACAATAACGATGCAATCGGCGAACAGCTCACCACAAAAGCTGCATCAGCACAACGAACGATTATCCACAAAACAAACCTAAATTAAAAATTGAATCAACAGCAAAAAGACACAATAAAATGAAAAATCCAAAGATCCTGACTTGTCTATCCAAGATTCATGGTGTCTGAATAGAGATCGGGAGTCCAACAACCGCATGCATATGTAAAAAGATATATGTACAGAAATAACTTATGCTAAGCAAGCAGTAATATTTCTTTGTGCGAGTGATTGCATCAGGAATTTGGGAATCGGATTGCAAACAGAAAAAATAAAATGAAATAATCTAAAGAGAAAAAAACAATTTGGCTGAACTAGGATGTAAATAGGTCGGGGCGGATTGGGGCGGGTTTTGGCAAACCTGAACTTGAGATCGTTATTCACTGCCCTTTTTTACTACGTACCTTCTAATTACGTTTTTGTCTTTCACTACTCTCTCTCTCTCTCCTCTTTCTCTCTCAATTTTCTACAATTCTTTTGACCGTAAAAAAATATTTCGAAAAAATACCAAGAAAATGCCATGACATCGACAAGATATTAAAGATTGACCATGTATTTTTTATTTTTTTTTTGCTTTTTAAATAATTTTTATTTTTTTTATTATTTTTTTGGCGCGTCCGACCGGCGAGACCGAACGCGCACGGTTGTACGCGACCGTGCCGGACACGCAATTTTATTTTTTTATTTTTTTATTTTTTTAATAAATGTCACGGGCAAAATTGTCCAGGGACGGTACTTAGTAATAAGGGACGGTGAATTATACCCTATATAATTTATCTTATCCAAGTCTAATTTGTTACTCGATTAGTGATCTTTGGGTTCGGGTCGAATTTTACCCAACGGATTAGGGGGTTTTTGAAGGGTAATCGGGTAACTCGAGTTCTTAAATTTGAATTTTACCATGTCCCAACCGACCTGACCTGCTTCATGTGAAAAATGAAATAAAATAATTTCACAATTAATTATAATGTAACAAAAAATTTATTAACTAAGTTTGACGATAAAAAAACTATAACTTTTTTTTTATTTTTGAAATAAATAATAAGATATAAATATTTATCTTTTATAGTCTAGTTAATAATATAGCATTTAAAAGTTAAGAATTTAAATTTTTTATTGTACAATTAACAAAAATTGATAAAAAAAATCATAAAAAACAAATTAAATTTAACCATTAACTAAACCTTTAGTAAATAATTTAATTTTTAACATTAATAACACATGAATACTTTTGTATTTATCACATATACATAAGATTCACGGCAAATGGGTAGGGTAATCGGGTCGAGTAATGGACCTTTTGACTATACCTGCACCCTACCCGAGGTTCGGGAAGCATATCTCTACCTGAACCTGCTCGAAACTTGATCATCCCGAGTTTACCCGATCTGAAAATGCTGGTAACCCGACCCTGCGGGTTTTATTGAAATGCGTAGGCTGAACACGAAAAATAAACTAGAAGACAATTTTTGTCTAATTTACAATTTCTCTTTTTGTATTTTTCACAATTTTTTTAGTTTGCGTGTTCTAGAAGTGGTAAAGCGCTCGACCAACGCCTAAAGTGCCTAGGCGAGTTATAATTTAGGTTAAATACCTTATTTTTTAATTTATTTTTACTACCTAAAAAATAAATTATCTCAACTTATAATAAATCTACACACCTAAGTTCAAATAATATTATAAATATAATATAAAGACAATATGATAACAGAATATATAATGGAGTTAATGAAAAAATGAAAAATTGTAGCGCCCGTCGGGACCCGCCTAACGCGGTCGAATCCCGTCGAGGAATGCTCATTTGCCACGCCTGCGGAGTCTGCCTGCACCTAGGAGCATCTAAGAGCTACCAAACCGACAAGGCAATTTTTTTTTACCAATCAAGCCTAAATAGATGGCATTTTATTGACGCCACTTAGGCCGATTTTTAGTACAATGTTTTTTATAGAATTTTTTAAGTAAATTCTTCTTTCTACTTTCAATTTATTCAATCCCCACTTATAATTTCTTATCCTGCACTACTGAACTCCTTGTAACAGAAGATTGATGTAAAATTGGTGAATTCAATCTCATTTATATAATTTATTCTATCCCCAATTATTATTTCTTATTCTGCACTACTGAACTCCTTGTACTAGAAGATTAATGTAAAATTGGTGAATTCAATCTCATTTATATAATTGTTGTAATATAGATTGTCAGTATGTATGTGTTGTAATATAGATTATCAATATGTAAGATCGATGTGTAAGATAGGCAAAGAGAGAAAGTAGTAGAAGAGAATAAGGGAGAAGAGACTAGTAGAAAAAATAATTTTTATAACGGGTAAAAAAAACTTTATATAATGGTTTTGAACTAGTTATAGTTTCAGACGTTATAGATGAACTTTCTATGACGGTTTGTGACCCGTTATAAATTGACTGCCATTTATAACGGATAACATAGACCCATTATAAATATTTAATTTACCTGTTATAGACTACACTATTTTATAACAGTTATAAATTTAACCCGTTATAAAATATACTATATTTATAACGGACTTTCATTTAGCCGTTATAAACTTCTTTTGTTTACACTATAATTTATAACGGGTTACTAAATACCCGTTATAAAAACAATGTATTTGATAACTGAAATCATTACATAAATACCCGTTATAAATAATGACCCATTAAAATGCACAATTTTTTAAATCGTAGATAACACCTGTTAACAAAAAGGGTGCAACATTCTACTTTTTTAAAAAACAAAACTACCATATCAACAAACAAATAGCAAAAGAAAATATCTCTCATTACTTCAATGCCAATACACCAACAATATAGATCAACTTCACAAACACAATTGAGAATTGAAAAAATTCATAACGGATATAATTAGTTTCATAGACACCCGATATAAAAAGAACATAATTATTACAAAAATGCCATCATCTTAATTTTTATAACGGGTTTAACAAACCTGTTATAGAAACCCTGTTATAAAATATGTTTTTTCTACTAGTGATACCGTCAAAACCCTCATCTTATCCGTTCACTTGAGCCCTACATATAAGGGAATACAACGTACATGACTAAAGACCTAATGGGCTCCTGGCCCATACCTACAAAGCTTATATCTAGGTAATGTCCACAAATTAATATTTACAACACTCCCACTTGGACATTACCGCATCACGTCTATGCCTCGTTAAAAACCTCGCTATAAAACCCAGTGGGAAAAAATAGTCGAGGAAAAGGGTACATGACATATGCAAATTTATGTGTTACACTTGTTGCCTCGTTGAAAACCTTACTAAGTAAAACCCAATGGGAAAAACTTAGCTAAGGGAAAAAGAGTACAACACCGACCAACACCGATCTTCGAGGTTTATTTATCCCTCCCCCTGAAGGCAAGAGCCTTTAAAGTTACATTTATAATTGTTTGTTCCTCCCACTCAATGTAAGAACTTTCTAAAAATGAAGCGTCATAATACTTTCGTTGCTCTTCCGGAGTTAATATATATTCAAAAAATAACATCACATTTATTTCGATAATTTATTTGTGTAACACAAACTATATTATCTTCGAGATAATTATGGGGAAATCTCAATAATAAAATTGATAAAAAGTTAATACCATTTCAGAGATATATAACCAATCAAGGACCCAGTACTTCGGGGATCAATTATACAATTGATGTCCTTATCCACCAATATCATATATCAAGTCTAAAGACAACTCAACATACATGAAAGCATAATGGGATATTCTCATTATTTATCACGATATCTCTTTAAGGAGAGAAATAGTAAATCTTGCTAGCAAATTCATCGCAAATGTAGCATCAGGCCTGATGCAATTTGCATGATAAAAGTTCAACACAATTGCACTTAGTAAATAAATTTCAAGTCGTTTGTGGACTTCAAGTCCATTGGAACTTCAGCTCCTATAATATCCTCATTTGTTTCTTTGGATCTTTGTCAAATTACAAATATTTGACACTCATTGGTGTTATAATTTTACATCTCTAAAAAGATATTCAAGTAGATTGGTTGGGTAAAAAATACTCCTTCTAGGAGATGCTCGATCTACAAGTCGAGATAATACTCTTTGGTATTTAACCAAGAGGTTCATTCTAACTCCGTCTATAAGCATGAGCTAACTTATTTAATCTTTTACATAATGTTCACCACATAATCTATTTGACCGAGATGATCATTTTGTATATTATCTAGACAAGGTTCTACCTTGAATTTCTTACTTTGCTTCTTCAGGAAGAATTTAGTTAGTTGTACCACATCTTACCAACAACTTCAAATAAATAAACTATTTATTATTTAATTATCGTTCATCTCGGGTACTCGAGTCCATCCAGGACTTTCACATATGACTCAATAGTCATAGTAATGATGCTTCCATAAATATTAACTTACGGAATCATTGATAATGAGATAACTTATCTAAATAAATATTTGAGTCTCAGCATAAACTCATGTGCATAATCTCTTTATATTTACATCATACCACCACATCACACGTTTCATATAAATATTCATTATCCTCTTGGGATATATCGTATAGCAAGTGAAAGTTCTGCCTCAATTTTCCTTTCTATCTCAATCAACCTAAGTGTTTCTAGAACTTTCATTATTTTGATTCGGATCATTATTTGAGATAGTAAAGAAATCACAAAGGCAAGTATGTTATCGACAACTGATATTCAATTTATATTTTTCTCTCAACCATATATGCAACTTCATATTTACTAGTCATATTTATAATCATTTCCCATAACATCTAATTTTAGCCCTTCCGTATTTCCAATACTATAATGGTTTGATGCACGTGCAAGATGTATTGGATCAACTCTTCAGGAATTTCTTATAAAGAAGTGTTAATTCTTGAATATACATTTTCCGCGGACTTTCATACATCATATTCATTATATCACCTTATGCTTCTAGCATCAAGGAGTCAATAATTCCCTAGGCAATTTGCTTACTTTGTGGTACATCTATATATTTACAAATTGGTCACTCCATTATTACTATAGATTTCGCTTGGCAGAAATATAGTATGAACTTCAAGTTCAATTTTTATTGCTTGGTTTCAAATAATGAAAACATTAATATTTCTCATATTTCACGGCATTGATAAACTTATGCTCATATCTCCCCCTAATGCCGTGAAATCAACTTCATATATTATGCAAAAAATGTACCAAATAATAAATTGATCCCCCATAATGGCCTCTAGGTATTAAAAAATCGACAGAGTATAAAAATCATAGAATACCTAGTTTGTAATATTGACCCAT